ATAATAATAATAATAATAATAATAATAATAATAACGTTATTTACCCTGCAATATGAGTCAGCATATATACAAATTATAAGCTGGTATGAATTTATGCACAGCAAGTGCAAGCACAAATAAACATGCTAATCACGAAAATAACTCCTGTATCTTAATCCAATCTTCATATCGATAAGGGCACTTGGATGAAAACACGGAATTTTTTGAAAGTCCGAATAATTAAAGCATTTGAAGGTAATATGATTCCATTATGATCACGAAAAACAGATTAGTGGAAATTTTAGCCTGGGAAAATAATCAGTCATTGACTTAAACCTAAACAAGCCGTACGTTCGCTTGGAAGAGGGGAAGCAGGGGAAGCCATGGATTTGCGAATATCAAACTAAAAGAATTACAGCATCTACTGACTTTAGTAATTATTAGTACTTACCGTTCATGAAAGTACTTCGAATTCCGAAATGTCAATCCTGAATTTTCTTGTTTTAGAACTTGCAACTCGGTTTACATTCGTTTAAGCATTTCTAAAAGAAGATCAGTATTTTGTAGTAAAAGTAAGGATGCGGAATTGTTCATCAAGTCAACAAGTTATTTATAACGACAAGCTAGACTTGGCAAGACTTCCCGAACAGTTGTCTAGCTTGGGGCTATGTTAATGAAACTACAAATAAGGGCATATATTGGACATGACCACACTGCATGAAATTGGACTGATTGAGAACGCATGCATTGAATAAATTTCCTTTTGAAATTTCCCTTTGAGATAATAATTGATAAATTACAAAAATACGTACCCGTTTGGTTTCATGATTTATTCTATCATTGCACAGGTTCATTAGTTATGTCATTTCCTGTGTTCATTTGTAACCAAGATACAAAATATCTTTTCTTCATAGAAATGAACTAAAAATCCATGCATCTAAATAAGAGGGTATCAATGGGGGTACCCCCTATTGTCAAGTTAATTACTAATTTTGAGGCCAATCGTTAGTTAACTCTAAAATTTTAACCAGCGCTGGCCATAATATTAACCAAACTAATAAAATATCGATCAGTTAACTGTTAACTACTAACGTTTAGGTTATTTATTTGTCAGTTAACTATACTAACCCCATTAGCGCCCTCAAATTGTAATTTGTCATTCTTAATCTTGTTGTCATCCAAATTTTCAAAAATTTCTACGCAAAATCTTTATCTTTTATTCATTGAGCATTTGCCTCGCTCAATTGTGAAATTCATCTCTTTTTTTAAATAATAAATTCTCTTAAAAACTTCTTTGAAACCTTTGTACATGGTTATCGAAGTGGAAATCTGTCATTCTTGATGGCTGTACTTATAATTTTCCAAATTTTTGGATATTTATGCCACTCAAAATCTGACACGAACATGCATCTACTTCTAGGATCCATTTTCGTTCGCTCAACTGGGTTTTCCGGAACTAATCTAAAAAAGGCAACTTCGATCATTTTCCACTTGAGTTAGATTTTTAAAACAACAAAATAAAGCAAAACATTTACGACAAATACTAATAAGAAACTGCCATTGCAACGAATATAATGACAACTAGAAAAAATAAAGTAAGATAATGACAATGATCTGAAATGTTTCATCTCCTACTTTCACTAGATATCATTTCTGTCTTGTCTGTGAGTAACCAATCTCGAGCTAAAGTCTTCCGGTTTTTTGGTTAGCGGGCTGTCGCAGGTAAGCCCTCGGGTCTGTCTTACCAGACGCTGACGAAAAAAAGGAAGGCGCTAGCTGGAAGAGTCTGGGTACGAGATTGGTGAGTATAACTTTCTTCAATTCAATCGCAATTTTAGTTCTGCCTGTAAATACATGCCGGTCAGCGGTCAGCCACCATAAGATTCACAAACTGCACTGACCAGCTGATATCACCTGCCACTTCTTTTCCCCTGAGCACTTTTTCTGTTGATTCATACAGTCCTTTGACTAAACGTTGTCGTTTGATCGGCTTCATCCCTACGCGCCTAGACCGAAAAGGATCATGGGGATAATTTATTCACAGTTACTAGCTGCCGCATACATGTTATCTAACACGTCTTGAGCTCGCTGTTTTCGATCCCATTTAATTTGCTGAAACCATGCCTCGAGCATACGGCGAAGATTTAAACTGGCGAGCAGTTTGGATGACGCAAGTTCTGGGTAATTTACCAGTTATCCTTTTCGGTCTAGGCGCGTAGGGATGATCCGATCAACGACAACGTTTAGTCAAAGGACTTTATCCTAATCATACCTAGAGAATTCTATATATCATATATCACTCTCGTCACTCTCGTGACTGAGTCTTCCCTGTTAACTTCAATATCAAATGAATCATCAGATATGCCGAGAGTGGCGTGTACTACATCGTTACCAAGCCAACCATCACCAAGGTGATCAGTCAAACTGCTTTTCTGGAGAACAGTTCTCGGATGTGCTGGATGGAGTACTGACAATCATGAAGACCGACTTTGGGGGAAGGGAGGGAGGGGGGAGGCTTCCAGTGTGTTTGATAATGAAGTTCAATAACTTCATATACATCATTTTTAATTTCAAGTATGCAATTGAATATATATAATATGAGGAGATTGGCCTATAATTACTAATTAATGCTAATTTGAGATATTTTTTTGATAATAGCTATAGGGATAACACATCAGTTCCAATTTAAAGCAATCAGGGATTATTCCTTTTGATGGTGTGGACGGAGAACACTTCGTATTCGGAACTTTTCGAATTCGATGACGTCATGATTGTCATGGAAACTTGGCGGGAAGGCTAACAATTCACCGCGGGCTCAATTTCAGCTTCGATGCGCATGCTCAGATGTGCAATAAAGCGTTTTTGACGCATTTCGACAATCCATGAATAGTATTCCAAGGCGCTTTGCTTTAAACATATATCTTTTGTCGTTATAATACTTATAGAATACCCCGCAAATCATATGTGTGGCATGTACACATATATATATGCACATATCCAATTGAGTTGATCCTCATATGTGTGGTATATGCACATATACTTAATGACCATGACTTCTATCGTTGTATGCGTCTTTTTATGAACGAGTTCCGGCAACTGCATATCATTTGCAGGGTATTCTATAATTGCTCCACTTTGCTTAATCCTGTGGCGGAAAAGTACTCTAAGTATTGATATCATCATGATTTTTTTTATTTTTTATTTTTTATTAGTCATCATCATGATTGACTGAAACTCCGATTCCATATTAATATTGAGGTGCTCTTTTCATTTTTTGTTGTTCACTTTGACACAACTGGTCATTTTAAGGGTAGGTAATGAAGTCTCTGGGCTCATTTTGATTATTTGTGTCTATTTGGCAGGGAATTTTAGTGTCACAGTATAAAAAAAGTTTTAAATCCAGGAGGATTTAAAGAAAGGAATGGCCGTAATTTATACAATGCAAAGGATTGTGGGATATCAATTATGTTATTTTCATGTTTTGTTTCTGGCAATGAGAATAATCAATATTTCTCAAGCGATGACAAATGTTATGATGTGTTGTCACGCAATAAGCCTTTTCATAGTTTAAGAAACGACTCCACTGCGCATGCGATTTTATCCCGAATTTCTCACCTTCTTTTGTCTAAACCTTCTTTTGTTCTTAATTAAACAAAAGAAGTTGAGAAATTCGGGATAAAATCGCATGCGCAGTGGAATCGATTCTTAAACTATGAAAAGGCTTATACCAAACCAAGCCAGTCACTTATCACTTATATCAATTCTAACTCGTAGCTATTCTTTGTTATTGCTCTAGGCAATGGCAGAAACGCAGGTGTTATTGAGTATCATGTGAATAACACCACCGGTCTGGTCCAGTTAACAACGTGTGCTGGGAAGAGTGATCCTGGGGGGCAGCTAGCCTGGAACTGCAGGAAAAGGTATATCTATAGATATAACGATTTGTTTACCAGGGACGGATTAATTAGGGATTATCAGAGCAGTCTAGTAATAAGATATCGAATCTTATCAACACTAATTCATAAATGTAACTGGAATTTAGTTCGAAAGATTTGTTAAGAGGGTCCTGAAGGGATAAAATGGGAACTGGGATTCACGCTTTTGTAAATGGGAATTGAAAATGGGAATTGAGCAAAACAAACAGGCTGGGACTATGGGATTTGGGCTGAAAATATGGGCTGGGAGATGGGATTAGGATCGCCCTTCAATACCTTCAAAATATCTATGAACAGGGATATATTAAATAACATCTATATCCCTAATCAGATAACAAAGCTGCTCACCTGTGAAGCTAGGAATCAAACCCGAGAGCCCAGAGATGACTGAGAGGCGAGTTCACATCTGCTGAATTTAGAATTTGTTTTTTAGCTTCATTTTTTCCTCGGAGTAAATCAGTCATGAAGCTTATGCATGTAGTAAACCAACAACTGAGATATTGTGTAAATCGAACTAGACTTCACTAAAAAGTAAAGGTTTGCAAATCAGCGAGGTTTTCTTTTAGGGGTAATAGCGCGAGTGGTGTGTATAAGGCTGGTATACTTATTTACTAATCCATCCAGAATGAGTGAATATTTTTTATTGTTTTCAAGGTGGTGCAGCAGGAAAAGGGACACGAAGTGTAGCGTGCTACAAAATTTGTAGTTTATTCGGTGGTTGCTCTTGCAGCTTTATTAAATATACATTCAATAGTGAAAATGGAAAGAAGGGCAACGATGGTAAAGCAGGAACATGTAAGTGACCTATTTTCTCTTTCCATTTTATTTTATTTATCTTGCATTTTATTCATTCATTCATTCATTCATTCATTCATTCATTCATTCATTCATTCATGTAACTCCAATCAAGCTCAAGCTCAAGCCTGGCTTGAAGGCGATGTTTGATTGTAGAAGCAGGGCACGTGACCCCTTTTGAATGATATCCCCTTCAGGTGTTAGGGCAGATTCATATACGTCTTATGGGGAGAAGGAAAAATATGCCATAACATTTTAAGGACAGATGATAACCATCACCCCTTTTTAATTCAAATGTTTTGGGTGCATGGAAGTGAGGATCGAGGTCACGTGACCGCCATATCACAAAACGTTTCCTCCTAGAATCTGAAGCTCATAAAGTCATGTGGCCATTGACAATTTTAGCAAGAATTGAGTAAGAAACGACAACATAATTTTTAAAAAAAATGGTTTTAGCCATAAATGGCCTTCAACCAAGACCTTAACATACTTGAGAGGGACACTTTTTCCGATAGATTTGATTGGTCGACTGACAACCTCACTCAGCTCCCCGGTTCCCCAGCTCTCATCGTTCTCCTCTCGGGCAAGTGGATTCTGCATGAGAACGAAGTTGGGTGATTTATAAAAATTGAAACTGGCGAACAACATTAAGTTTTAGGTACAGAAAATAAGCAACTCTACCCACGTACGACCCCGTGCCCGGTAATGGAGCCCGGGTCGTTTTGATGAGAGGCGACGCATTAGCAGCGCACACTCGGGCACTCGTGCTTCCCGTCAGCATAGATTGCAGCTGTGTTTGGAAAATTACGATCCGAATGATTTCCAGCTGATCTGTGAAAAAATGGTAGCCAATAAAAATCGAGAGATATTTCCAAAACTGAGGTGTCCTCAGGAAATTATGGGTTTCCAGGCCACCAAATAAAAAAATAAAAAAATACTTTGCTAATACGCGCTTGATAACTGTGACACAATTTTTTACGAATGATTTTGATATTTTTTACCATCGGTAATGTGTTGCTTGTTTTACTCATAAAAAGAGAATAATTAATCTTGTTTTGCTCTAGTTTCGGGCTAAATGTATTTCTGTGGCGATGATTCTACCATATTTTCACGAAGCCTTTGTGTTTTATATATTTTTCTCGTAGCTGGTCAAGCAGGACGTGCCTGAAGTCCCCCTACTGATGTCATCAAGAACCAGGACTTTACGAAGTTTCCTATTGGATCCCTAGAACTAATCATGGACGTAGCAGGAGATATGTTAGGAAGGGGGAATGCTGAGGAAGCCAAAAATATCGTTGGATTTCTAAGACTCGCATCTAAAGTCAACGATCCAAAAAAGCAACAGCTTATGAAAGGTGATATGCTTAGCCTTTGTTCATTACCATGTGGAGGAGAGGACTGGGGAGGAGGGACACTAAAGTCCCCTTTTTTATTTTACTTTGCGTTTTGTTCACTATTTATGATCAAGAAAAAAGCCTATGCCTTCTCCTCTCTTCTCCCTTCCATACATACACTTTTCAATATTTTTCGACTCTAAGAGGCAGACTTTATTTCGTAAATATCGTGAAACAAAAATTAAAAATATATCAGCATCAATCATCCTTGTATTTTAAAAGATCAGTACTAAATAGCCATAAACCCATAACTCAATTGGGATTTGGAAGATGATATTTGCGGAGAGAGGAAATGCGGAGGAACGCCCGAACACAAGAGATAATCCGTCCGAGTATCGAGGCAGCAACTATGTACAGCAGTAGCTTGTAGCAACATGTTTTCCATTAAACGTATTTTCCCCCTTTTCAATTCAGATGTTACTGTAAAACTTGCATTCATAAATTCTGGTTTCGATGACAGCCTTGGGCAGCTCGCTATGACCGTCTGGTGAAGACTGACGTCCAGAAGTGTCTCAGTAGAAATGACATTGGTCCGTGGTCCAGTGTAAATTGCCGTAGAGCTTGGGTTCCACTAAGCTTAGGTTGTTACTTGGATGGGTGACCTGTAACTTATACTTGCTCAATCTTTCTTTTTAATTCGCCAAATTGTTTACCCAGTTTCCAAGCGGCACATAAGTTTCCAGTTTTCCATTCTTTGCTTTCCAGGGCATCTACGCGTCAACAATTTTATATGTTTATACGTTCGTTCTTTAGATTCCAATGCTTGCCTCAACTCTTTGACCGACAAAAGTTGGAACACTGCTTGTTCGCATCAACAACGACGTAGGAGGAGGGAGCCTGTCTAAAAGTGAATGCAAGAGTCCTTATTCTACATACTTACTCGAAGTTCCTAAAAACACAAACATCAAATGTGATGGTAGCGACGTCCACGCAAGCACGAACTGTGGTGAYTTTAAGGTAAGAGAGAATTTGATTTGTTCTGCATGAGTGCTAAATTCTCGTCGCATGCAATACACGTCAAAATCCCACGAAGTGAAGCAGTTGAATCAGTATTGTTCAGTGCGCAAATTGTTACGTTTGTACCAGAATTCTCTGAGGCCATATCGTCAGGTCTCAAACCATTCCATCCGGCCGTAAAACAATTGTTTGCTGACCATTTTCCATCCAAAGAGATTTATGAACTAATTATCAAGCCGCAAATGAAATGTTGAGCCTTCAATAAAAATACAGTGATTTCCTTGATAGCCAAAATGGTACGTGCGTTCCTATCCCAAAAAACTTTTGACTTCCGTTGAAAGGTACAATCGCGTCTAACGGTTGAAAGGACGGATATTTAGATAATCTTGAGCGGAAGGCCGGATTTGTCTTTGCACTTAATGAGAGTAGAAGTTTCCAAATAGAAACGCATAATATATCATATATACGATTTTCGCCTACAGCTATCGTATACAACACGCTCGCGCCATCCTACAACTCGAGTCGTAGCGTGTAAATCAATCCTACAACTCGCTTACGACAGACGCGAGCGTGTTGTATACGATAGTTGTAGGCGAAAATCGTACCGTCTAAACCGGCCTTTAGAATGGTTAGGATATTAGAGTTAAGTGCTACGCTTATAAACATGGAATATTTTTTTTAATGCAAGTCAAGAATTTTAAGAACGAAAATGTTTTTTTTTTGTTTCAGTGGATCGCATCAACAAAATTAATTTCTGGGCAGTCGTTCAGTACTGGCCGGATCAATACCCTTCAGGACCGACCAGTCCTTTGTGTAAGGGTATGAGAAAGAGAGGCCTGTTCATGAAAAAAGCAACCACATTTTAAAAGTATTTTTAGTGGGATTTTTGTGTGAACTATGATTCAAGCTGATGTACGATGAACTCATAGTAAAGTACTAACTAGTGCGATTAAACAATAGAAAACCGACAGGGAGTATAGCTCCAAACTTTCTTTGCTCAGCTTTATTATCGAATGTGCGTTATGATTTATCAGCAATTCAATCAAAACCTGTGGCATTTTAATCAACTTGCATTGTTCCGCAGTACGTACATTCCTTACTATACAATGGACCTTAAGGTATGAGAACTGGGTAAAGTGGCTGTCATTTCTACAAAATTTATTTACACTGTATCCAATACACCTGAAATAGTACTTCACAATAAATATATACATAAAATTTCCTTTCCAAATTGCATGTCAAAAGTGTGAAATTTCACACCTAAGGTGCCAAAAAAACGCAGGCAACCCAAGGCTCTTTTTCAGTAATTTATTAATATCTCTCTCTAGAAAATGTTATAAAGAAAATAAAACTTGAGCTATGAAAATAAACTGTATAAAGAAAAAAAATTAGGCAGCCCGGAGCAAAATATTTTTTTGGCGAGTTAAAACTACCGTGACACGGTTTTCAGTCGTAACATTTTATCAAAATATGTATTTGCTCCGGGCTGCCTAATTTTTAATCTTTAAAGTCTATTTAAGCTTTGTTCCAAATTTAAGGATAGTATGATAAATACAAAAGAGTTTATCGAAGAACGCGTGAGGGAGAGTGGTGCTTTAATGTGCTAAAGTCGCTATAATTCTTCAATTTTGGATTCAAACGAAAGAATTCGCCGCCATATTGTTTCTGACATCGAACTACGTCATGACTCACGATATCAAGCCGATTGAGCCACAAAAACTATCGGAAAACTTCGGTTTTATATCGCCCACGCGTCGCTTCATCCGAATCCCGTAACGCGTCCCAAACAAATGACATCATCCATAGCAACGGCCTGAACGCATGCGTATTTCAACAGTGAAACACGAAACCACACCATAAATTTGACGACAAACAGCAATCTACTTATCAATAGACTTTCTTCGAGTGTTTTAATGATATATAGTAGTATTTTATACAGTAGTTATAGAAAGTATATGTTATTTAGCTTATCAATGAATGTAACAGAAATATGAATTAGAGAAAAGTATATATTCAGACGCAATAAGTTTTGCAGCGTTGCTTAGAATAAAGTTCGAAGGTCAAGGTATTGGAAACCCTTCTCGTCTGTCCTTCTCAAACCAAGAGCTTCAAGAACGTGGTTGGGAAGTCGAAAGGTCCGGCAAAGTTTTTAATTTTACTGCAGTTACTCAGGCAAAATTTTTTTTATTCATCGAAGGCGGTGAGGCAATACTTAATCGAACAAGAAACAAGCGCAAGCGAATTCGAACCAATTTTAGCCGCTAGCCGGACTCAAATTTCGATGTTACTTGCTCCGCGTGGGCCCCTAGATGTTCATCTCAAAGCGCATGTTCAAAAGGATCAATTACCAGTGAAATACTCTCGCATTACACACGAAGTAAACAAAATGGCTTCCTTCGATACAAAGTTAAGCACCGTTTTCTAAGAAAACGGAACAACTAAACTCCGAGAAATCGAGAATATGGATTCATATTATCATAAACAAGCTAACTAGTTAGTAAAAAGTGAGGAATTTTTTCCAGCCACAACTCAGGTCTCATACCTTAATAAAAGAAAAGAACACATTTGTACACAATCGAGGCTAAGACTGAGCAAAGTCGAAATCGAAATAGGACGTTTGCATGATGGCGTCATTTGACTCCCACAACCATAATGCTTCGCGAATTTTCTTTCTTTTTCAAATTTGTATTTCCCTATGAGAATAGTAAGACAAGTGGTGCTAATTAACTGAATAAAAGAAAGTATGCAAGGGAGTCTGGTAGTAGAGGTCAGTGACGCTATCATGCAAACGTCCTATTTGTAGAAAATTTTAAAAAACCTTTACACATTGTGTATTTTGAAATAAAGGCTTTTATCATTCCACCATGATTTCATACTTTTCCTTTGAAAAACCACTATGAGGGACCGAATAACCATATAACCCGAATACCCAAAGTATACCCTTGTATTCTTACCTTGGTCATTGGGAAACGAAAAAGGAAGCTATAATAATAAAGCTAAACAACTCTCTGTACCTTGGTTATTGGTGAACGAAAATGAAGCTAAAATAACCAAGTTATATCACTCTCTGTACCTTGGTTATTGGTGAACGAAAATGAAGCTAAAATAACCGGCAAGTTATACCACTCTCTGTACCTGGATTATTGGTAATTGAAAATGAAGCTAAAATAACCACGATCGTCCTTTTTCATAACGTGGTTATTTGGAAGCCAAAAATGAAGCTAAAATAACCACGATCGTCTTTTTTCTTAACGTGGTTATTTGGAAGCCAAAAATGAAGCTAAA